ATGGGTCATAGCTATGGGTAGCTGATGGATTGTAGGTTATTTGATTCAATTGTGCTTAAGAACTGTTTACTGAGGCTAAAGTCACTTGAGGGCTGGAATTGTGTTGGACACTGAGGATAAACCAGAAAACTAAACAAACACAGTCCTTGACCTTATGGAGCCTACAGCCTAGGAGGGAAGGCAGACATTTAAAAATGACTACTTAAAAAGGGACAAATTTCACAATGGATGTATAGGAGACAAGGGACTCAAGAATTTAGGGATACATAGTAACAAATATTTCAGTAATTTGACAGAATTTTAATCTATGTCATTGAAGCTATATGATAGAATATCTAAGTTGGTGAATGCTCGTATATTGATTTAAAAGATTACATTTATGACAAATGTACACAATATAAGTAACTGATCTAGCAATGTATAATCTTGATAATGATCAATGGAGAAATTTTAATAACTAAGTAACTTGCATTTAGCATAGTAACTTATTAAAACCTGGAGGGGGTATTTCAATACACTCTCCCTCAGGGTTGAGCTATCAGTAACCTATCTTTAAATATCAAGTAAGGAGGGGTGTCAGAATTAAGGTATATGTTATAGACCCAGTGCATATGCCACCCTTCTTTTATTTTTTTTAATTATTTTTTATTTTAGCATATTATGGGGGTACAGATGTTTAGGTTATGTATGTTGCCCTTACCCCCCCTGACTCCTAAGTCAGAGCTTCAAGCGTGTCCACCCCCAGGATGGTGCACATTGCACTCATTATGTATGCATATACCCATCCCCTCCTCCCCCCCACACCTGCCCGAAACCCAACAAATGTTATTCTTATATGTGCACTTATGTGTTGATCAGTGAAACCAGTTTGCTGGTGAGTACATGTGGTGATTATTTTTCCAATCTTGGGATACTTCACTTAGTAGAATGTATTCCAGCTCTATCCAGGAGAATACGAGAGGTGCTATATCACCCTTGTTTCTTATAGCTGAATAGTACTCCATGGTATACATATACCACATTTTATTGATCCACTCATGTATTGATGGGCACTTGGGTTGTTTCCACATCTTTCCAATTGTGAAACTACATGTATCAACTACCCATGATTCCAGATTAAATAAAGTAGTTCATCTTCTCATAAGTCCAACAGAAAGTTGTAATATGTAACAGCAAATACTGTACTTATGACTGCATATTATATACTTATGTGTTTATTTTCATAGTTCAAATTAATAAGTAAAAATGGAATACACAATAAAGGGATGAAAAGAGAAGAAATAGTAGCTTTTGTCAGAAACAGAACATAGGTTTATTCATCACTAAAGGGGTATTTCTTAATTTGACTTCGTCAAGTATTTTTCTCTACTGAAAAGTGAATGAGATATCAAAGCTGGCTGCTTAATGAAATGCAAATTCAATGATGTAAAAGTTGAAACTGAGACTTTTAAAATGACATACAGATGCTTTTTAATATTTCTATTATTTTATACTGCACACAAAACAAAATTCTATATTTCCTAGAGTTCTGTCTTTCTTTAGATGTATGTCATAGGTATCACTAAGAAATGTAGTACCTGATTTCATTTGAGGACAAATAAATTATCAGGGACTCTTTTGAAAAAGAGAATGAAATGCCTATGCTTTTACAAAGTCATTGAAATCATGTCACTAGCTAAGTTTTTCTGAGCAAACTTATTTTAAAATCGTTTATTTTAGCATAATTATTTTACTAGCTTTAAAACAGTAAGATAAAGGATTAGAAAGTAGTCACTTATGATATCAAATCACCAGTAGCCAAAAATGAGAATGTTGAGAAATTGAAGTGTAAAATAGAAGCAAAGTTTTTTAAAGATGCAGCCCACTAAAGCCTCGACTCTTGCCTCAAATTCATGGCTATTTCAGGTAAAATCTTTCTTTTCCAGATTGTCTGCTCCAGTCTGTATTTCCTAGGGTTGATATGAGTATGTATCTTCATGAAACTTAAAAGTAGTATGGACTTTATTTTAGAGAGAGAGTGTGTGTGTGTTCATGCACAGAATGTCTTAAACAGCCAATAAATTTTCAATGGTGAAGAAATAGGCATCATTTAGGCATTGTGTAATGCTTTAGGTTTATAAAAATTTCCAAACCTTGCTGCATATTTAAAAACCTTTGAACCTATTTTCCATCCCTACAGATCTTCATAAACAATGAATGGCATGATTCAGTGAGTGGCAAGAAATTTCCCGTCTTGAATCCTGCTACTGAAGAGATAATCTGCCATGTAGAAGAAGGAGATAAGGTGAATTTTTAAACACTACCTCTCCATTTTTATGCCA